TATATATAATATATATATATATATATATATATATATATATATATATATATATATACATATTTATGCAAAATTATAATTTGATAGAATTATAAATATAAAATAATTAAAGCAAAAATTATATTTAATATGAAATGTTAACATTTATTGTATATTTAAAATCATATATAAACCTTATTATGATACTGATGTTAATAATATATCATATATATTAGAAAAAATTATTATATTTATTTATAGTGGCAATGAAAAATATAATATTGATAAATTTATATATAAAATTTTAAATAAAGAAGATATTAATAATATTTACAAATTTAAATGGAAATGGAAATTGTTTTATTTATTTCTTTCGTTTTTTTATATTTGTATAATTATATTAAAAAATCAGTATTTATATATAGGTTATCTTGAAGTTATTTAAACTTTCATGAGAAATAATAACGAACTACTATATTTTAAGATATATTTAAAAATATATTATTAAATGATAAAAAAAAATTATTTAGCATAAAGATAGTTATTATAATATTAGAATAAATCAATAATATCTATCTAATTCGTTATGCTCATTATTAAATTTAAATTATGTTTATTATTTGAAATCATCATATTTTTATATAATAAATATGCAATAAAAAAAAGAAAATATATTGATTTAATTTATAAAACAATATTATTAATACATTAGAATTTATTTTATTTTAATTTAGAAAATTGTTTTTCATGAATGCTCGTGCAATATTAAAGAATTGTATTGAAGTATTCTTTATAAATAAAAGTTTAGCATTGTAATAATTATTATTTTTATCATAGTTTTCTAATAAAATATTAATTTTTTATTAATTATATAGAATAAACATTAACAATTTTAATCATTACTATTAATTTATTTTTTTTATTAATTTTGTAATATGTTTTATAATATAATATAATAGTAGTTTTATAATATGATATATAATTGAAATTTATATTTGAAATATATTTAATACAATTTGATTTGAAATTTATATAATAATATTTGTAATATTGCAATTCATATAATTATTTATTTTACTTTAATAATTCGTAATAATTAATATATTTATAATTAATTATTAGATTAATAAGGAAATATTTTAAGTTAGTAAATTTCAATTCATATATTTTAATAAATTTCAATGAATTTTTATTAATAAGATAAATTTAATTTAATAGATATAAAATTTAGTTTAATAAGTATATGTTTAATATATATTAATATTCTCTTTTGTAAAAATAAATATAGCTAATAATTATAATAAGTTATAGTTTATAACAATAATTATTATTGTATTACATATGACAAACATAATTAATTTTAAGATGACCTCTCTCAAGAAAAAACAAAACAAATATTTCATTATCTAACAGAAACAGAATTTAGAAAAAAATTATTTTAAAGAAAACATTTAAAAAGTACCTGTAAAAGAAATTAAACAGATATTCATTAAAAAATATCTTTCGAAAATAAATTCATGAATAAGATTAAAATACGAAAATAATTATTCAAAACAAATATGTAATTTGAATATTCGATCTCTTATTTCAAGATAAAATATTAATATTATGTATAAAAATAAATAACAATACCACAAACTGAATCATTTAGTGGTTTAAAGTTGCTATGACAGGGGTTAGATTTGCTTTGGCGCAGCGATGTTCGATATGACGCCCTCTGATGGTAAGCTCTGTTATTAGAGCATGAGAAGCGGTGGGGGAATAGAGTGTAGCAACGGAGCGTGCGTCTACGTCAAGAAAAGCTCTGAGCTTATTGGTCCCGGTCCATTGTTGCGTATTGATTGCTGCGGAGCGGTGGTATGGTCGTTGGGACATTCGGTCGTCCTCATCGCCGTCGTCGTCGTCGTCGTCGTCGGTGGTACAGTCGAGTAGGTTAAGAAAGCGGGACACGCGTACAGATAGATCAGTTTTCCGTGTCGTTGTGATCGAAAGCGCGTTTCGTCGCGTGCGATCCATGGATCTGGGTTTACTATATAATAATCACACGTAAAATATACAAGTATATATACATATTATATACGTATTTCTTCATATATACATATAATTACACTTTCACATATACATACATATAGGTGACACACGCGACACTTGTAAGTATAAGTATAAGCGCGCGCGCGCGCAACATATACAGGTATAAACATATAAACACATGCACGATACAAATAAAAATTATTTCCATATATGTACATACGCATACATATACACGCATACACGCGCGCGCATCTATATATACGTTATACGTGTACATAAACATTTACTTATAGATATAACAAATACATATGTACGATCGTGTGCGCGCGTACCTACACGTACATTTACGCATACTCCATGCAGGAATACATAAATATGTACGTATATATTTATGTACAAAATTGATATAATTACAAATGAGATACGAATATACAGACGAATACGTTGGTGCGCACACATAGGCAACATGTATATACAGATAGACGTATATAAAAAAACGTAAAGATACACGCGAAACACAGACAGAGCACCGAATACACGCACGCACGTATGTCTATATACGTGGACGCACGCGTATGTATATATCATCGTAGTGGTGGTGTCAGTGGGTTGTTTTCTTGTTTTCTGTTTCTCCCTCTTTCGAGATTGGAACTACCTGCAGCATCAGCGGCGGCGGCGGCGGCGGCATCAGCTGCCGCCGAGCGTGTCGACATCGACTGCTACTGATCTTCGGTCATGATAAACTTGGTGGATAATTTTTGAAGATAGAATTCTTCCCGAGAGAACAATCAACAGAATTATGTACGTCCGAATAATAATTCGTAGAAGCAGGACCGAATAATCGGGGATAAGAAAGAAAGACAGAAAATCGAAAATTTCATCGGTTCGATTGGTGAAATAGGTGACGAGAGGAAGCGCAATAAAGGATTGCTGAGTGGTTCGAATGCAAAAAAAATTAGCATCGATCGACCTGAAATCTGATTTCGCTACAAGGAAAGGACGAAACGAAACGAAACGAAGGAAGAGTTGAACGGACGGGCCAAGCGAGAGGGGGCGGAGAGTGAGATAGAGTGAAAGAGGGTTCTTTGGGTGAAGTGAAGAAGAACGGAGAAGGGAGAAACGAGTGTAACGAACGAGATAAGGAACGAGAGATAAGAAACTTAGCGGAAGAAGGAAGAAAGAAGAGGAAAAGAGATTAGGATTAAACTGGCGCAAAATCGGCAGTAGGAATAGGCAATAATAGGATTTAGAAACAGGTGAAGATAATTTCGAAGAGAGCAAGTGTGGGACGGGGGTGGGTGGGTGGGTGGTAATCGGTGCGTGCGTGCATCGTGCGTGCATCGTGCGTCGTACGTGCATCGTGCGCGGGTGCGTGCGGCGTGCGTGTATAAACAAGAAAAAGAAGAGGAAGAAGAAGAGGAGGAGGAAAAAGAAGAAGGAATAAACGGCACGGAGAAAGGGAAGGAAAGGAAAAAAAAATAGAGGAAATAAAGGTTGATTGGTTCCGTGGTGGTGGTGGTGGTAGTAGTGGCGGTGGTGGTGGTGGTGGTGGTGGTAGTAGTAGTAATAGTAATAGTGGTGAGTGGGAGCAAACTGCGCGAAGCTAGTTCGTGGTTGAAAGCTGCAACGAAGCGCGAGGTGTGCAGAGTTGCAGCAGGAAATTATGAAGCGTATAAAGAGCGCTCCGTTGGCCGCCGCTTGTCATAGCTGCCGGTGAATGTGTGATCCGGGGGCAGCAGAGATCCACCGTAATGACGACCGAAGAGACGACCGAGCAGCCCCCGGTAGACGACTGCCTGAAGGAACGGAAATGGTGGTGCTTCCTGCTGTCGAGCATCTTCACTTTCCTTGCCGGGCTGCTGATCGTACTCCTCTGGCGTGCGTTCGCCTTCCTCTGCTGTCGCAAGGAACCCGAATTCGCTCCAAATGACCCGAAACAGAAAGAGCAAAAGACGAGCCGTCAGGGCAAGGAGTTCGAGGGGACTTTTATGACCGAGGCCAAAGACTGGGCCGGTGAACTGATTTCTGGACAAACCACCACTGGACGTATTTTGGTAAGTTTTTCTTTTTATCTAATTGCATCTTTCTTTTGCTTTTATCCTTCTTTTTTCTTTGCACGTTTCCTTATCTTATCTTTGCTCTTTCCTTCACAGCTGTGAAACGAAAGGGCAGAGAGGGTAGAGATGAATATGCGCGCGTATATATGCGTTGTGGAGAGCAAGATATTTGATATTTCTTTATTTTTGATGATTTTACATGTTTTTATTTCTAATGGATATTAATTACATCATGTTTAAGAAATTTTGATCTATGCAATAATTCGAAATTTCGTTTTCGCCATTCGTATTAACGGTTTTAATATTATATTACTTTTTGATGTGTTTGAATATCAAACCATTGAAATTCTATTGAAATAAGAAAGAAACATTAATAATGTACGACTCGTTAAATGTACGTTAAGTTTACTCATTGTTGGTAGTCTGACGCGATTATTTCCCATGAATTATGTTGTCATCGATTTAAATGATATTTACATACTTACTTGTGTATTCCAGAACTATTACGTTATGTTATATTATTTGATTAACGATTTCCAAGTTTTTGCGGCATTCTACACGGTATATTGTTGATTTGGGAATTCAACGTGCGTGAGAAATAACATAGATCAATCGAGAAATACATAGAAAGAAAATTGAAATTTTACAGACATTGTAACGCTTAGATCGTTTATATGATCATCGCGATATTATACATATGTATGTAAGGAAAAATATGAATAAATATAAAAATATATTCGAAGAAATTGCTTTTATCGTGCAAATATAGTTTTGTTTCTATTACAAGTTATAATATATTAAATTATACTTTAAAAAAAAAATGAAAAGAGATTAAATTATTAATGCAAATATAATGTTGAATCAAATTTCAATTCGTTTTATAGTTTATAAAAATTTAAAGGAAATATTTAAAATACGTACGTATTATATACATGAAATAAAATACATGATGAAATTGAATTAATTTTCTAAATTAATTATTTATGTATCAAAGACATTATAATCAATTTTTTTATTTATAATTATACTTTGAATTATAATTCTAAATTAGATTGAAATTTTTTTATATTTCAAGAAAATATTAGTGTAAATATTTTAAATATTTATCTATTTTTCTATAAAATATTTTTTATAAATTTATTTTCATTTTTATTTTTCGTATTACGGAATTCTTCTTCTTCGAAATATGACATCATAATATGAATATTAATTCTAGTTTAATGTCAATCGCATACGTTATTTTTCTTTTTTTAATTGGACATTTTCTTACTCGAGAATGATACATTAATAAATTCAAAAAAAACATAAGCTATAATAAAAATATTTCTGAACTATAACAAATATTATAATTAAACGTAATTGTATAATTATAATAATATCTTACTTATCAATATAATGCAAATTTAACAGAGAAAATTGTATACACAATATATAACAAGTTTTTATATATTATTTCTATTTGATCTATATTAAGTCATGCATACGATTCACAGTAAATCGATCGATATTATTCGATGAAATTGTATCAATGACTATACACGATGTAAAATTTGATATAGAGAAAGAAAAAGATTATTACAGTACGTAATAATTTAAATATATTATATATTTTAACACCACAGAAATGATATATACATGGTATATACATATACTATATATATATAATAGCACGTACAGAAAGTGAGTTCACGGCACGAGTTAGCTCGAGTATCGTAGCTGGTGACCCAGTTTTCGTTCGTGGAACCAGCACGTCGTTGACTGAAGTAGAGGGGTAGTTTCTACGCAGTGCGTGCTTTATCCTGTGGGGCGTGTTTCCAGCCTCTTTCCTTTTCGAAGCTTCACGATTCTATCCTCTTGGTTTTATTTTCGTTGTGTATTTTTCAACGAAAAACTATACCTACCAATTTCCATTCCGATTTAAACAAAGAATACAGCTTTTAATCGGGTACGCTTTCTTTTCAACGTTTTCTTTTCTTCTTAAACGTTTTATCAAAAATAACTTGATCGAAAATTTTATATAGTTTTAATTTAATATTCCTCTTATAATATAATAATAATAATGAAGAGTATTATTTATTGAAATTATTAAAGATTATTAAATATAAATATTTATATGTTAAACATAAAATTGTATGAGTTAAATTTATATTAATAAATTTGTTAAATTGTTAGACTTTTTTATTTAAAAAAGAATATAATAAAGTTTTTTTTTGAAGCTTTTTTGATATACATTGATATATGTGATTATAATTTGAACTTCACAAATATATGGTATATATGGACATATATGGTACATATGGTACATAATTATATATAGATTTTTTTATACTTAGAAAATTTGAATTAACTGTGTTGCAATTATGTTTGTTGTTTGAAAGTTTTAGCACAACACAGATCTACTTTAGAACTTAAATTATTATTTCAGCTCTCATTTACATGATGTGTGTACTACTTTGGAGAAGACACTGCGTCATTTTTATACTTTCAGTTAATTTCTATAGTTTGTCCCATTTCGATAAGGTATATCCTAAGAAGTGTGTTTTTAGGTTAGCAGTTTCTTCTAATAAATAAATCAAATTTTTGACAGAAGAAAGAATTCTATACTTGAGTTATGATTACATAGTGACTATATAAAATATTTGAACATGAATTATCATATTCATTATAGCAGTTTGTATACTAATTAATTAGATTCAAATATATTTCATTTGTGATTTTTTCATATATAATTTAATAATATGATTATAAAAATTTTACATTATAGAAATAAAATGAACGATAAAAAATGATGTTTTATTAAAAAATATGAAAAATACTTTTTATAATTGCTATATTTTTATTCGTCAAATCTTTTATATTTTAATTTTTCTGCTCAAAATTAAAATTTTTGCCTTCATTTGAATAGATGTTATCAAATATTATTCAAATAATTGAAGTATAATTTTGATAATTCCATTTCATCTGAAACATTTATAACATATAATATAGAAACTTGAATTTTTAATTGAAAGAAATGAATAAAAATCAAGATTTATAAATAAATATCTGTAAATAGAAGTATAAATATATCGATAAATTAAATTTTATATTTACAAATTTGAAAATTTTATAAATTGTATTAATTCATGGCGATTAAATTATAATTATTTTCATATTATAGCATAAATCCAAAAGTTAGAACATCATTAAATTATCGTCATTAATTTAACAGGGAATTTTTATCTTTCTTTATTAAGCACGCGATACTTTTATGATACATTTTTATATATTCTTTTCAAATAACACGACGTCACTTATATAATGGTGATGTGTCTTACAAAGACAACCAAGTAGGTTTCTCTCTAATTTAATCCAACTGCAACTTACCACGTTACTTGCTACCAATGAACTGTTCGAACCATACCCTTCTCTACTAGATGACGTGTGTCTTACTTTTCGCATTAAGTTTTATCGAATTATAGAAACCTTTATATATATTGACATCTTGGTTAATTTAGCCTAGAATATATAATTCACTCGAGTAAAAAGTCAAATTTCATTTAAAACGTGTGTAAAAATGTAATTTTGAGATGCATTTTAATGCACAGTACGATTTGTTTCAATTATTTGTTAATGATTAATATTATCGATGAAAATTCTTTTTGTCATACATGATAAAATTTTGAAATCTCCTCAAGTGGTGACATTTGATTTTTTCTATATTTTTTTTTTAAATAAATTTCTGAAGTTTTCAACTTTTTTTATCTAAAATTATTTAAGTTTTTGAGTATACTTAAAATTTAAAAAAAATTGTGAAGTATTCTAATAGGTTTGTTTAGGTTTTTACATAAATTTCCAAAATTTGGAAGAAGTTAACAGATGAAAAAAGTTTTAAATTTATTTAATTTTTTTTGAACTTATTCAATTCTTTTTGATATTAATTGTTAATTAAAAAATATTATATAATAAAAGGCAACGATTAAAAGATTTGATTATAAAAGAAGGATATAGAGAACATTATATATAATAAGGTCATTATGATGAAAAAGTATTAAAATCGTATTATTTGTAAAAAAAAATCAATAAAAATAATTGAGATAGTCATGTTACGTTGTACGTCTTCTATACCATATTTATAATAAAATTATAAATAAGATAGGATATTCTATGACTCAATATAAATCAATAATTAATCAATAACGATAAATGAGAATAAAAATAAAGGATAATAAAATTGCATCGAAGACTTGTGGTCCTAAAGAAATATATTTGAAAATCAATCTGTATACATCTAATTAATGTTGTTGATTTTAATTGATATTTCATCGCAGACTATTATAGTTGCTTTTATACAGAATAAAATATCAAAGTTCACTTAATATTTATTAACACAATATAGCAAGCAACAAGTAATTGACATTAATAAATTAATTAATTAAATTTTAATTTATTTTAACTTATTATTTTAATTAAGATATTGTTCATATGACTTTTCTCTCGTTCAAACTTATACTTGTTACATTAAATTATTATTAGTTTAATTACTGTTAGTTATTTATCACATTCTCAGACTTTAAGGATAAATTATAAATAGATAAAATAATAAATTAAAATATTGTATTGTTAGTTTAAAAAAAATAAAAATGAAGAATAAAATTTTCCATTTATCAAATTATTTTATATTGGAATACGTAAGCATTCAATCACGGTATAAAAAAAGTGTCATGCTATTAATTCAATGCTATACTGTCTTCATGCATTGAATGTACAAATGTATCATTATGTTGATGAATCGACAAAGGTTTTTATTGATTCTTGTCTATCTTCTGCGTATTTTCTGCGCACAGTCTCCAAATTATATGGCAATTTTTCTTTATCATTTGTCATATTCATGGAAAACAATTTTAGATGTAACGTCAGATAAGTCAATCAATTACTTGGAAAAGTTTCACTTCGATTTTTTTCATTAAAGGATGATTTAACATTGAAACAAGAAAAATCTATTTTACCAACATTAT